CCCCCCCCCCCCCCCGCAACTCGAGTTGGGTTTGCAGCTCTGTTGTCTTCAAAACAGGTGCCAAAAGCGAAGCACAGCAGCGGCTGGTCTCAGAGCAGTGGGACTTCTTGTGCCAGCTGGAGATGGTGGGGGAGGAAGGCGCCTTTGTGCTTGGCTGGGATGAGGTGCTGACAGAGGAAGAGCTGTCCACGACCCTGAAGGTAAGCACTGCCGAGTGGTGGAAGAGCTACACAAGGAAGAGCACAGACTAAGTGTACTGCAGCTGTGCAAACCAGCATGCAAAATGGTTCGATGAGGGGGGGGAAAGCCTGTAATTGCATTTTGGTACTAACGCTCCTGTGTGAAAACTGGTAGGGGATGTGGTTGCCCATCTCCCCAGGCTTCAGGTACTGTCGTCTTCCTCTCCTGAACTAACCACCCACGTGTACTTACGAACTGGTCTTGAATGGCTCCGGGGCTACTGCTGTTCTGGAGAGCTTTGCACCTTTGTAGGTAGCAGTGAGATGTCCTTTAAGACTGTTCCCAACACCCAGGTTTGCTCTTTGAATGTTCTTCTAACCCACAAGTTACTTGTGATTAGGTATCTAAGCCAGTTTTACTCACCTTTTGCACAGCTGAGGAGTAGCTCACCTGCTCTGTGTGGCTTTAAGACCACTTAGAGAAGAAAGCCTGATGTACTTGCACTGCCAGTGACTTGTCTCTTTGCCTGGGTCATTACAGGTGCTGTGCATGTCAGAAGAAGAATTCAAGGAGTATAAGGAACAAGATGGCTGGGAAGACGACAGTGAGGAAGAGGAAAACTCTACCCTTTCTAATGAGGCTCTCTCCAGACTTAAAACCCCTTGCAAGAAGCTCCTTTATGACAGTGTGCTGCTGACCCTGGAGTCTTACAGGTCAGACTTGAAAGCGGAGCAGGACTTGCTAAATAACAAGGAGGCTTATGAGAAACTGAGTCGAAGGGAGCAGCAAGCTTTGCATGTGCGCTATGGACAGAAAAGGATCTTGCATCAGCTGCTAGAGCTGGTACACTAGAAACCTCGCTGCTGCTGGAAATGAACTGCCTGGAACCGTGCTCAGGAGGGGAAGGTCAGCCTTTGGCCATCTCTTCTACAGCAGCGAGAACAGATGGCAAGATTGAATACGGGCCCACTTGTCCCTCATATGGCACGTGGCTTTTTAGCTACCTCTGCATAAACAAAAATATCTTCCACAGCACAGTAGTTTTGGGTGGCTTTACCTTACAGCGAGAGCTCTGGAGCACAAGGAACCGTGCTCAGGAGGGGAAGGTCAGCCTTTGGCCATCTCTTCTACAGCAGCGAGAACAGATGGCAAGATTGAATACGGGCCCACTTGTCCCTCATATGGCACGTGGCTTTTTAGCTACCTCTGCATAAACAAAAATATCTTCCACAGCACAGTAGTTTTGGGTGGCTTTACCTTACAGCGAGAGCTCTGGAGCACAACTTCTTCTAAAAGTGGTTTTGGGTGGCTCTACCTTACAGCGAGAGCTCTGGAGCACAACTACCACCTTCTTCTAGAGGACTTAAGAACACCCAGATCTCCTAATGGCTGCTTTAGGAAGGCAGACATACCCTGTCAGAACAAGAAATGGGTTCCCTCATTCAGCATCAGAAATTTAAGGCAAGAACTGCTCCTTGTCCAGATGCAGAGGGCAGAGATCCAGCTGGTAGCTCTTACCTTACAGAGGTTCAGAGTAAGTATCTGGCAGGTGGAGACGCTGACAAACTAAACTCTTCACCTATGCTTTGTTGATACTGAGCATTTTAAAGAGTACAAGCCCACCTGTCTGGTTTTCATGTAGGCTCAGTATAGCAAGATATTTCCTTTTACCTTTATAAAAGGCATTTCTGTATGGGCTTGAGACTACTCTATGCAGGAGCAGTGTCACAGTTCTGCAGCTGCTGTAGGCTAAGCGTTCAATGCACACCCTCCGGTTGATAAAGTTCTTCCTGAACTCAGGCACTGCTCTGCATCACAGCTACATTAATATTTCCCTCAGCAGTTTCTGCATGACAGAACACTGGAGGTTTGCAGGCCAAGCTATATTTAATAAAGATGATGTTTCTTATCCAGCCAACGCTGTCTACTTCAACAGGGTGCAAAGCCCCATCTTAAAGGGGGGTGATCTTTGCTGCTGCTGCAGTTAGAAATACTGCGAACAAGCAAACCCCATGTACTCATGTAGATAAAGGTCAGCTACAGCCCCACCTGCACCGCTGGGGGCCAGGGTGGTTTAACAGTGGCTTTTAAAAATTCCCCTTTTACAGTGGTGTAATGCAGCAGCTGTTTAGAGTCCAGTCTGCCATCTTGGCTCTTCTCTTCCTACAGCAGACTAGATTTCAAACTAGGCACACAGTGGATCGAAAGGTTAGTCTTCATTTCTTAAACATGAAGTGTATTATACCCAGGGCCTCTGCTGGCAAAGACACTGGTCATCCTTGGGGAGCTGACACCAGCACTATTTACTTTGACAGTACCAGCTGCAGGCTCCTTACCTGCTAAGAGAGGATACGAAGTGCAGTAGCCTCCGTCCTACCAGCGCAACTTGTGTTACTGAGATCTTGGCCGAGTCCTGTCCACCTTCCACCCCCTCTTTACACCAGCCTAATGGTTCTTAAAGCCTGCAGGGAACCCGCCATGTACAGCAGCATTAGTACAGAACCAGAGAGACCTTTGAGCCTTGAGTCATTAGGACAAGTCAATAAGCTCTGCATATGGTTTGCTAGAGTTAAACAGCAGAAAAAAAAACCCCATGGCACCTGGACTAGGTAAAGAAAAACTGGTTGCTGGTAATTCTCCATATCTTGACCCGATACAGGAGGAAGAATAAACTGGAGTTGCAACACCAGAAACAAAAAAATTCCAACTTCCAAGAGGCTCAATTTCAGCACAACTGCTGACCTGCCAAACAAATGCCAGGGAATTGTAGGATGTGGCAAGAAAGTATTCCTTTACACACAGGCAACTGAAAAAACACTGCCTAGAAACAGGTCACAGATAAGAGAATTCCCCTTGAGCTGCAGTCCACTGGCACAGTTGGCTCAGTGGTCCCCTGGATCTAGTTTTTGCTCTGTGCAGCAGAAGCACAGCCAGGTATGCAGTCCCTTAAACCGAAGCAGGAAATCCTGACCTCTCCACCCATACAAGAGCAGTCAACTAGCTTTAACAAACTAGTAATGTTACAGAGCAGTGAAGCTCTAGTTCCTAGTATCTGCTAGGTTGCAAGGCATAGGCTAAAGGAGCTTGCAGTATTAGCAACACTGAAGCCACCTATCCTTATTACAGCTAACTAGCAACCTTGCACAGATCCTTGCTGAAGGGAACTATCATAGTAGGGCACAAGTCATGAGAAATGCAGCTGGTCTGCTGTCTATGCTCTGCACCCCTCCACTGCAAGCAGTCTCCTTTCCAGCACAACTTTGTCAGACAGAAATTCTCCTCGTGAACTTGTAATTAAGGTATTTCTATCTCCACACAACTGTGTCCTTTCCTTTTGCACTTCAAAGCGAGGCCCATAACAATTCTCCCCTCTGACCTGAAGCTAAAAAAACAAGCTCAGTTGCTTTCAATAGGCAGTGGTCAAAACACACTGGAAAACTGCAGATTTTGGAGGGGTGAAACAGACTTGGAAAGACATCAACTGGCCAGGTAGGATGGAACTGGAGAGAATAAGCACAGTGGCACGTGCTGCATGTCATGACTTTAATGTGTAACTACAGTATGCATACATACAAGAAGTGGGAGAACTAAAGCCCAAGAACTAGAAAGGCTACAAAATACAACACATGGACCAATACTTTACAAAACATTCAAAATCCTTACAAAATGGGCTGTATTGGTCCTTTGGGTTTTTTTTTTTTCTTTTGGGTTTTTTTTTTTTTTTTTTTTTTTTTTACAAACTTACTTATGCTGTGTGGTCACAGGGTGGGAGGCGGGAAAAGGTCTAGATTTAAACCCCCTCCCCTTCCAAAATTTACAAGTGTCAAAAAAAAAAAGCTATAGGCCTGGTCTCTGGTTTCTTTACTAAAAACAGCTGACCCTCTCCCAAAGGGCCTGAGGTGTGTCTTCTCCAACAGAAAGGAGGCATTCTCTGAATGCCACTCCACTTGCTGTCTGTCAGCATTTGATGAGGGTGGGGAAAAGCAACCCTGAACCTTAACCCCGCCCTCACCCCTCCCCTACTCCATAGTATTCCCATATTCCAAACACATCCACCTTTTTTTTTTTTGTAAAACAACTTAAGTGATTTGAAGGTCCCCCATCCACATAAAGAAAAATAAGTTACATAATATTACTGGCTTTTCAATATTCTTTGGGAGTCTGGGAATGTCAGGACAAGGAGGTCTGCCCCAGACAAGTGCTTGGCATCAGCAGCTGCCCCTTTATTACAAGCTGGACAGGCACCAGTTACCCACCTGCCTTTTACACAATTTGCACAAACCCAAAAGTCCAGACAAACGTTTCTGTTCCTTGTATTTACACTAGTTCAAAATGATATTCACAGCATCTTCTGAATTTTGGCCAAAAGTCAAAAATTTGTTTCAAACTTTGGAACGTGCCCACATAGACTGTCACCCAGGGTCTGTTGCGTCTACCCAATCAAGCAGGCTGGGAAGGTCAGGAGGAGCCTTACAGAGTCTTCTGTCAGTCGATGGGACAGGGACCTCCAGGCTGGCACGCTTACGACACAAGATGCAGCTCACCTAACTGGCACCAGTCCCTTCCATTACTTGCTGGGCCTGCTTCTGCCCCATGCAGCACTGTGCAACTGACTGGAACAACCTGAAGACAAGAAGCAACGCAGCGTTAGGTGCATTTATGGCAGCAAATGGCACTTCCACTATGAAGCACCAAAAAACTCGAGGTGCATCTCAGCCCCTGCTTCAGATAGATTGTTTTAGTGATTTTATGGATCAGTTTTACTCACTTCTCAATTTCTGGAGCGCAGTGAACAAACTCATGGTTCCAGAACTTAAACGCTGGGTTTTTTATCAGCTCAATGAAGGTAATAAGGAGACCCCAGGGATGAGGCCTATTTACAATCAGTCGTTCCAAGAGAACCCTGAAATCCAAAAGTAAAAACAGTTAGAGCTCAAAGATCCAAACTACACAGGGAAGGAAAGTGAACAGCTGAATGCTGGCAAGTTAAATGCCTCCCCTCTCACCTAGTGATCTGCTCCTGGATAGCCTCAGTGTTGGCCTCTGCAAACAGGTACAGCATGGTGCAACTGAAGTAGTGGGTGTGACTGTTGGGGTATCGCAGCTGGTTGGCAATTGCGTTCAAGAAAAGGTACCGGCCTGCAGAAGAGGACCAGTGAGTACATACGGTTTTCCTTCCACAAACACAAAAAGGAATAAAGCAGCAACTAGTATTGCTTAAGATTAAGGGTTGTGCGCCTGCCTTATGAAGGTACAAGAAGAAACAAAAACAACTGAAGATATGAAAAAGCCTTCTCAGTCCAAGCTGATGGGGCAGCAAGAATTCAATTCCTCTTCATTAAACTTATTTCTCATTCCCTTGAATACCTTGAACATTTGGTTTTAATATTGCTCCTGTATTCAGAATTTAATATTCTAACGCAGCATTACTTACCGTGAATTCACTAGCAACTACATGAAATGATCATCTGTATTTCTCACAGCTCAAACAATCTGCTGTCTGTTAAATTTGACATCGCATGAACTAGAAACGTTTCCAGCTCACCTTCAGTGTCCAGGTCTACTGCCAAATTCTGGAAGATGTCCATGTGAGCTGAGTGGGTAATGGTGCTCATAGAGGGTGTGCTGCCTTTGTTGTGAATGTGCGCAATAGCTTGAGTACCTACGTAGAGCACCAGTGCATTAATCAGCTGGATGTTGTAGCGGTTGCCAGGTTCATTTGATACCTAATAGCAAAGATATGAAAAGCATTAACGTTCTATATTCCTTCAGCAATCGAAGGTACAGCATGTACAATAACAGCAACCAACTATCTTCTTGATTATACAGAAGACAACACAGACATCCACAAATTCATTTTGGCATTTACCCTTTCGTAATATAGCAGTTATATATATATTTTCAAAAGCATCAGCAAAATGTTGACAGACCCAGACAATTTTTATATTCCCTACCTAAAAGAAAAAAATCAGGTAAAGGCAATCTGAATTCACCAGCAGTGCCAGAGGCTGGCTGAAACGCACACCACCTATGTGAAT